AGTCACAACATTAACATTAGTCGTAACCATGGGGTCCTATGGGAGGCAAAACGTTCACTGAAAAAACCGTGAATAACCGATGTCACTGTTTACCGAGGGACTACTATATTTTGCGAGCAGACGTTAATAGTGAGACTTGATCAAATGACGTGGCCAAATACAGTCCCTCCCTCTCACTGCCATTATCTCCTTCCCTCTCGACCCTCTCCTCCCCACTTCATGGGCCTTTTCGCATCCATCCTTGAATCCCCTGTGTGCACGGTTTACTGGTTCTTCAAATCTCGAACGCAAGGACTTCACGCGTGGCCCTCCAAATCGTGGCCACAGAATCCAAAATAACAAACAAACAAAAATGGCACAAAACCTCGAAGCAGCAGCCTGTCCCAACTCCTTGAGGGCCACCCCCTTGTGGGAAACCGGCAGCGGGAAAGGTTTAAACGATTGATAACACGCGTAGATAAACAAGAGAGGGGTTTTGCTGTACACTTCCCATCAGGGTTGTCCATGGCACGCGCGCGGTGTTCAATGTGCTTGTAAACAAATCCTCCGCTCGCTGGGAACACAGAAACAAACTAAATATTGGTGCCACAATTCAAGAGGCGATGATGTCCTTGAAAAAAACTACCTGTTGTGCTCTATAAAACACTGATGGCTTTGTGTGATACACATGCAAAAAGGTTTGCACCCGGCATTGTATGAATTGAAGGCGTTCTGTTTTGCAATTGTGCTCTCCAATGCTGGCTTGTAACCCCTGGTAAATAAAATAGGCGATATAAAATGGTAATGTCCCATGAACCTCATCCAGCATGGCGATGCGGGAGACTCATTTTGTTATCAAAGTCAGGATTCTGTCACACATTCCCGACCTTGTACCGGAATAACAAAAAAGGCTCTGTTTTATAAAGTATTGTCTCCGCAGTGTGTGCTCATTTCGATTGTGTCCTATTTACCAGGACTAGAATACGGGCGTACCTCTCATAGCGCTGCCCCCCTATAACGCTGTTTCGTTATAACACTGTTTGTCCCAGAGCCCATGTATGGTCGAAAATGGGCGTGGCTACTGGCGAGCCAGTGGGGGGGGGGGGGGGGGGGGGCACATGCCCCCCCAATGATCCGATCAAAATTACGGATTTCGATCGGATCATTGGGGTTTATTAGTAATAGATCAGCATTTTGCGACCCCCACTGCCACTGTGTAGCATATTATTACCTGCCAGAGACTCTATGAGATGATAGGACAATAGTCTGAGTCCATAACTGGCAATAAGTAACGGCAAAGCAGTTATAAGTGACTCACAGAATTGTGCGCAGGTGCGTATACAGTACACGACTTCCCTGAAGGAATATCTTCAGCAAGCATGATGCCGATCACAGACGGTTCGAATTCGACCCTCGATCGATGGCTGCGCCATCGCTGCACACGCATTGAATAAAAAGCAAGGGACAAGTCCTTACTTACAACTCCTATAATTTTTCATCGCTGGAGGGGTTGGCCCCAATACCTGAAAATCATGGCTCCGCCATTGGGCGTGGTATTGCCTGTAGGGGCGTGTCTCTGCCCATATATGGTCTTGTGGAAGCTGAATCGAGGTTTCCATTGTATGTATTCTCCTCGATCCGACAGCCACGTTACAGTATCGATTGGAAGGTTAATAACTGTATAGATTCATTGACGATCCATGGATTGTCTGTCGGAGGGACATGTTTACGGCAGACGGTGGTTAATCTTACACAAGCTTTGACCGAATGGACTGGTGAGCACGTAACTTGTATTTTTTTGAATATCATTATCATTAAAAAGTTATAATTTGTATTTATAAAGTGCTTTAATACATTTATCATGTGTACAGTGTGATTATTAAGGCTTATTACAAATACCCCAATGAAGCCCTCGTATATCGCTCATAGGTAAAAAATAGTGGTCGGTAACGCATCTCCATTGAAACCATGTTATAGTGACCTCCCATAGTGCCGCTTCGTACAGAGCACCGTTTACCAACATCGCATCCTGAGCGTTATAGGAGGTACGCCTGTATTGTTAGGTCATAGAAGTCACTCCCTGTAGGCAGCGTGATGGCATCTCAAGATTCATGGCAACATCACAAGTGATTTCCTTTTCTGTATATTTGCCACCAGAAGGTGCAGTTACACTGATATAGGTGAGACATTGGTGTATAAACTTAACTTTTTTTTTGACAACTGCTGGCTTGTATTTTGCCACACATAAAACCGGAGTACAGTCACACCAGAATCGTTCTTCTTTGGTTCTTTTGGTAAAGTCACGTATAAAGATAAAATAATAAATTACATAATAGCATACGACGTTTCGATTGCAACACAAGCAATCATCATCAGGTATAATGAAATAGCGACATAAAATCTAACCAGAAAACTATAGACAGACATATAAGCAGACAGATATCACCAAGATACATAGAGAGGGCAACACAGGTACAGAGAGGGGTGATCGTCTCTGTGGGGTGGCCTTAAATAGACAGAGGGGGGCGGAGGCAGAGAGAGGGAGGGGTTAGAGAAAATATTTACATGTCAATGAGTACGAAGAGACGCGTAGTAAAGTACGCAGGCTTAGAGGGAGAAAGAACACACTAAATAAATAACCTAGCAAAGTATCGAAATGTTATGTAAAACGACACAGAGAGTCGGTCAACACACAACGCATAGCCTGGTCGATTACGTATTTCAAAGATTGCTAAGTTAGAATTTAAGTGTGAAAATTCCAAAGAAAGACAAAACATAAAAATAAGAGGAACGGAGACACACAGACAGAGCAGAAACTAAGAACGACAAAAAACGAGTGTAGACTCCGTTCCTCTTGTGTGTCTCCGTTCCTCTTGTTTTTATGTTTTATCTTTCTTTGGAATTTTCACACTTAAATTCTAACTTAGCAATCTTTGAAATACGTAATCGACCAGGCTATGCGTTAATTATGTGTTGACCGACTCTCTGTGTCGTTTTACATAACATTTCGATACTTTGCTAGGTTATTTATTTAGTGTGTTCTTTCTCCCTCTAAGCCTGCGTACTTTACTACGCGTCTCTTCGTACTCATTGACATGTAAATTTTTTCTCTAACCCCTTCCTCTCTCTGCCTCCGCCCCCTCTGTCTATTTAAGGCCACCCCACAGATACGATCACCCCTCTCTGTACCTGTGTTGCCCTCTCTATGTATCTTGGTGCTATCTGTCTGCTTATATGTTTGTCTATAGTTTTCTGGTTAGATTTTATGTCGCTATTTCATTGTACCTGATGATGATTGCTTGTGTTGCAATCGAAACGTCGTATGCTATTATTTAATTTATTATTTTATCTTTATACGTGACTTTACCAAAAGAACCAAAGAATAATTTCTGCAGTCACGAAAGCTCCAAAATTAAGATTACACCAGAATCACTTTTCGATTTCCAGCTGCAGTTTTGTCAGCCCTAAGGACGGATGAAGAGATGGCACGGAGTTTGGTACAATATCTGAGGGAATCATTCGGCAGTATCAATGTATTTAATGATGAAAAAAGGCTTTACCCTCTCTGGCATAAATACAGGAGGTGTTAAGATTTTCAAACACCAAATAGACATAACTCTGTTCTCCTAGATCGCGTTTTAAACGTGAATTGGATATAACGCGATTGAGTGAACAACGTCGAGCAGGAGTAGGAAAAAGCGGTCGTGCGCTGCCTCGGCGTAGCATCACACAAGTAATTGGGATGCTGCTGGGTGCTTCTAGATGCTACCCATGCTCCCTAATATTTGTTCAACCTGCGTACATATCTCACGTGTAATCGCGAACTGTGCTTTACCCTATATATAATTTATTATCACGCGATTTTTCCATCACGCGGTGTTCTTTCGGAACGCAACAACCGCTGCATTATAGGAGAACCAGACGGTATTACCACACACTTGTGGTAAAGTAAAAAAAACACAAAGCAAAACAAGATTTGCTTTGATAACACTGTGTAACAATTTATTTTTGTTCCTGGGTAGTAAGTGTTATTTCCCAATTGCTTATGCCTCAAAAGTACAGGAAATGGCTATTATTCTCGACACACTTTGCTTTTGTGACCAGGACATTGATATTTTGAAATTTACCTATGTTCAATGAGACAATTCCAGATAGATTCAGTGCTGAGTAAACTTCGAGTAACTTCTAGTACATTCTAGAACTTTCCGGTAATATAAATAGTAATATAAATTCAGGGGCCTTAAGCCCACCAGTTCAGTTTAGTTCCAGCTGCCTAAGTTGATACATGTCTGCATTTTTCTGAGATGGCATCAAGATGCTGCAAGCATCCGGCAGATACATTTTGCTCTGTCTGCGGCCAATTTATCAAGACAAGAGCGAAAAAGTACTCTGTGGAAGCATCTGCGAAGTTGTGTGAGGCCTATAATGTATATTTCAGCATGCCTGTAGGGGATCAAGACAAACCATGGGCACCTCATTTCACCTGCGATCAATGCAAAAAAACTCTGGAAGGTAAGATGGACAATTGTTGCTCGCAATGTTATGTTATAAAATTTGTACAAATTTTAAATTTGCAAAGTTTTTAATTTTAAAATGTTTTACAATTTTCAATGTTATTGAAAAAATACATCATATATGAAAAATGTTGCGAGAATCTCTTACACATTAGTCATGGGTGAAATAAATTTATTTTTGTAGGATGGTACAGAGGGAAAAAGAGAGCCATGAAGTTCGCTATACCAATAATTTGGCGGGAACCCACTGACCACTAAAGCAACTGCTACTTCTGCATGGTGGACCCTTCCAAACCTCGGACTGGCAAGAATGCACCTGCTATCACGTATTCCGACCTTCCTTCATCCATCGCCCCGGTGCCACACTGCCATGAGCTCCCCGTACCCACTCCTCCGGAGAGAGAGCAGCCGTATTTAGAAGAGAGCAGCAAGTCAGAGAGTGAGGAAGACGTTGTAGATCCAGACGACAATTTGAGAGGTGGAGCTGAGGAGAAAAACCCATATTACCCCAACCAAAAATACCTCAACGACTTGATCAGAGATTTTGGTCTCACCAAGTTCAATGCTGAGGTTTTGACATCTAGGCTCAAGCCGTGGAACTTGTCGGATGAAAGTGTGCAAGTTGCAGATCAGAGGAAGTGTCACCAATCTTTTTGCAGCTTCTTCACCTGTCAAGATGGGCTCTGCTTCTGCCATAATGTGACCAGTCTGTTCGAGGCAATCGGAATGACCTGTAACCAGAATGAGTGGCGTCTCTTCATTGACAGCTCATCCAGGAGCCTCAAAGCCGTGCTTCTCCATAATGGTAAAAAGTACCCGTCAATTCCCCTGGCTCACTCAGTGTACCTCAAAGAGGATTATAACAGCATCAAGACCCTGCTGGACGCCTTGAAGTATGATGAGTACGGCTGGGAGGTTATCGGAGACTTTGAAATTGTGGCATTCCTGATGGGTCTCCAAGGCGGTTTTACCAAGTTTCCCTGCTATCTTTGCCTTTGGGATAGCAGGGACACCAAGGTGCACTACCACAGGCGGGACTGGCCACAGCGGACTGAGTTCTCTGTGGGGAGGAACAACATCAAGTGGGAGCCAGTGGTGCTGATGCCATTGCTGTACATCAACTTGGGTATTATGAAACAATTTGTCAGAGCTGTAGATAAGGAGTCAGCAGCCTCAAAGTACCTTCAAGACTTCTTCCCTAAGCTGTCTGAGGCAAAGGTCAAAGCCAGTGTCTTCGTCGGACCACAGATACAAAAGATCCTGGAATGCAATGAATTCCCCAAGAAGCTCACTAGTAAGGAGAAAGCGGCTTGGAACAGCTTTGTCGCAGTGGTTCGTGGCTTCCTGGGCAATCACAAGGTCGAAAACGATGTGGAGCTGGTTGAGACTGGTGAAGAACTACGGCATATTGGGCTGTAGGATGTCCCTCAAAGTCCATATCTTTGATGCTCATCTTGATAAATTCAAGCAGAACATGGGAGCGTACTCGGAGGAGCAAGGCGAGCGCTTCCACCAGGATATACTGGACTTTGAACGCTGCTACCAACGACAGTATAACGAGAACATGATGGGAGACTACATTTGGGGACTGATTCTTGAAAGTGATTTAGAGTATAATCGTAAATCTCGAAAAACAACTCACTTTTAAATCTTTTGTAGTAATTTTTTTATTACTTTAGAATGAGTAAATGTTCATTTTGATTCATATGTTTTTTTTTTACTTTATGTGAATGAAAATACTCAAATTTGCCCGTTTTCTCATTAAAATAGGTACATTTCAAAATATCATTGTTCTGGTCACAAAAGCAAAATTTGTGGGGAATAATAGCCATTTTTTGTACTTTTTAGGCATATGCAAATTAGGAAATAACACTTACTACCCAGGAACAGGAACAATGTAAGCATTGCCCTTGAAACTGATTGGCCTACACCAGAGACAGCCTCCTCTATGGCTTCGTCTCACCTCCAGTGCTTTAGAACGAAGGCCACCAAAGGGTGAGCAGTACAAGGACAATGGAAACATAAAAGTGTGAATAGCTCGGGTTGAGCAGATCGTTATCCTCTTTTCTGTGCCTGAACATTTTTGTTTTTTTGCAACAAATACTCTCTGTGAACGGGCTGTCTGTGGTATATGCAAACGTGTTCAGGAATTTGACAATCAATGCATTTCCATTATGTGTGGGTAAACAATCCACTTGCCCACTATGCACATAAAACCTGGACAGCCATGTAGCTGTAGTGGTGACCCACAATCCCGTGCACAGCAGTAGCGATATGCCTTAAATGTCGTGTCTTTTCATATAATCAACAAAAGTACCTTTTTGCAAGTATTGGTTTATCCTTTTTTGCAATATTAATGTAAACCATTACATAGTCTCCTTTCAGTGTACATATTTAATGGGTCAAATCAAGTTCAAGAGGTCATCACGACCAATATCGTTAATAGCGTCACACCTTTCCATCATTTAAATAATTGTGTCGCGTGTAAATTGTGGCCTACAGGTCACCCACGCTGTACCATTCCCACGGGCTGACATCACCGCATGAAGTGAAGGAATCTGTTTCTGGAACCGTCCGGAGATCACGAAGCATAACCAGAAACACCCTTGCACCACAGAGACACCACAGAAGCCACTTTCTCCGATGAGCCTCTGTAATTACGCACGCACGTTTTAACTTCTTTCGCACCTTACATAGCTAAAGCGTGCTAATTGGTGGCTCCTCTCCTGCTGGCAGCCACATATCCGGCATTCCTGCGGGTTTTCATTATGCTCGGGTTGGGTGCAAACGCGCATGCACCGTCTCGTGTGCTGCACATGTGCACATCCGGGACCTATTTTTGGCAATGACTGAAACTACCACAAAGGACAATCCAACTTTGTTTCGAGTAGGAGCCTGGAATTCAACCCCTGATCTTAGTGAGTGGTGGTGGTGTCTCGGCATGGTGGCTTAGCCGCTGAGCCCACGCAAGCCACCACGCTACCAATGCTCTCAACCCGCGCTTACACCACCTCAAACGTTCACTCTGGAGTGACTGCGGAACTTCGGTCCACAGTGGCGGCCACCAGCATGCCCTTCCTGCGAAGTCAGCCCCCCCCACCTTATAGGCGATCAGCCAGCGGGCCCTCAGCCGCGTGTGAGGCGGCGGTGGCTACACAGTGGTGACCCTCATGACGAGCTCGCGACGGGCGCGGGCGCCCCGGTCCCCCCCACCCCCCCGGTTGCACTGCCGCAGCCTCTGTAGCATCTGCAGCAGTGGGTGGGCGCAGCGGCCGTGGCCTGCGCTCATGCCCGGCCCGAGGCCCAGGCCGAGACGCGGGCCGCTCCGGTGGTGGTGGTGGTGGAGGAGGTGGTGATGGTGGTGGAGGAGGTGGTGGTGGTGCAGGTGGTGGTGGTGGAGATGGTGGTGCCCTCGCCGTTGGTGGTGGCCATAGTGTTGTGGCGCGCCATGGTGGTGGTGGTGGTGGAATCCGAAAGGACCCGAGAAGGCTCCGAGGACGCGAATCCTCTGGCGCAGGAAGGAAGGAGCCGACGGGGTGCTTCCTTGCGCTCCGTTCGCCACCGCCGCTGTCGTGCTCGTGGCTCGGGTGGCCACGGCCGTGGCTACCGCTGCCAATGCCGGGGTCGTGGTTGCCGTCGCTGCTGCCGTCGCGGTTGAGGATATCGTCGTCGCAGCCGTCACTGTCGTCGTGGTCGTGGAGCCTGCCGTGTCCGACTTGTCCCTGATCTTGTCGTAGTTGAGCACTTTCCACCGCTGGTTTACGGCTCGCCAGCGCTTGAAGATGCGATATATTGCTGGCCCCTCGTGGATGATCAGGCCTGTGGATGAAATACGCAATTAAAAACAAATACAAAGATCCCTCCTGTCCCCCCGAGAGCCATGAACAGACTGTTGGGGCAAGTGCTGTTAATCGCATGAAGACCGGCACTGTGCACACAAGGGGGTGGGTGGCCAGCACCGTGTCCGGTCGCCTTTGTGCGCACACAAACATCTGTACACGCACACACACACACAAACATTCATTCTCAGTGGGAGGCCGACTCACTACACCTTGTGGAGGATTGCTCCTCTGAACAAAATAGTTCTGTGGTTCTATTTTCAAGTGCCAGTTCGCGTTATAAGTCAATAAAAAAATTATATTCCATGTAAGCTGCTTCGTAAGTACGGGTGTTTGTAAGTTGGGCGTTCCTAAGTCGAGGACTTCCTGTACAATTAGCAAGCAGCTATGACTTTGCGAATGGCACACACACGCTGGTAGTGGGTGGTGTTCATGTCCTTCCTATTCTCTGCTATGCAGATGATGATACACCACCGTCCCAGGTATTCATTTTAGGCTGAGCCAACCAAGGGTAGGCCAAATCCAGATTTATAGTGTTCACCTCGTTATTCACGAGAGATAAGTTCCAGAGATTCTTGTGAAAAGCACAATTTGCTAATAAATACATGAAAATAATCACAATGACACAACAACAATTTTAATAGGTTATAATAAACATGTAGATAAAAAAGTATGAAATAATCTCCATATATATAAAAGCAAAGTTGTGATTATGTGTGTCTGTTCAAAATGTTTAGCGTACTTCCCGACATGCAAGAAACTTGAAATGTGCCATGTGGGTATTTTCCAGACTGTACACCATGCAAAAATTATAAAAATACACTTAGTTATATTTTTGGGTGGGGGAGCTCAATAATACATATATTTTTTGCACGGCAAGTGAGCTGTGACGTCAAATCTGTCTTGTGACCCACACATGTGGAAGCGTAATGCATTGTAGTGTAGCGGTTAGCGCGCTGCGCTACGAACCCGGCGACCCTGAACGACTAGTCAACTTCGTGACCGGAAGCTGACCACCACCACAAACTCAAGCACACGGGCGAGAAGCTGTACATGTGTGACGAGTGCGGCAAGACATTACTCGCGCTTGGCCTACCTGTACGTTTTCAAATGTGTGTGTTTAACTGTTGTGGTTCTTTGTTATTTTAAAGATGGCAGTTCTGCTGTGTATTCTACTGCTGTCCCTCCCGGCCATATCTAGTGCCAAACACAACTCCACCACTGACAGCCCTCGTTATTTCTCGTCCATACTTGATGCTCCATTTGCCATTACACCCGCTAGTGAAACAGCTTATAGCCACTTCTACACTCCATCATTGTATCCTTTTAAACCCTATCTCTGTCATATTACTTCACCAGCACTCCTTCCTAACTTCATTCTGCTCTTTAAAATGTCGCCATACGTAAGCAGCTACGATTCGTCCAAGGTTCGTCGCTCTTCATCCTTTCACAGAAAATACTTGTGCAAACTATTAATTCTACTTTTGTTATTTCTAGGAGGTATTGAGCTTCACCCTGGCCCAAATGTAAAGAAATCATTTAATTCTGTAGATTTTTCTGGCAGAAAAGGTGTTGGTGTTCTACATGTCAACATCAGAGGGCTTGTGATTAAATTAAGTCAACTAAAACTAGAATTTTTCGATTTAAAGCTTTCGTGACTGCAGGGATTCATCTTCTTGGTTCTTTCGGTAAAGTCACGTAGAAGGGAAGTAATAAAATAATAAAAATAAAACATAATAAAATAATTCTCACGACGTTTCGGCCACAACGCAAGCAGCCGTCCTCAGGTGAAGAATGAAACACCACCAAGCTTGGAGCGTATATTTAAGTTGCATATCAAGAGGAATTTTAGCATATTTATGGGAAATGCGTAGGAGGTGGGCGGGGGGTTTAAAAGTCATATTATGCCCGTGCATTATGCAGGATTAGCATCATCAAATACCACATACCAGTTAATGATATTGTAGTGACATAAGAAGGGAGGGGCTGCTGTGGGCTCTGGGACCCTGGGCGGCCCAGGCGCTTGGGCCCCTTGGCGCCAGGCGCTGGGTTCCCAGGCGGCCCAGACGCTTAAGCCTCTTGGCGCCAGGCGTTGGGTTCCCGGGCGGCCCAGGCGCTTAAGCCCCTTGGCGCCACCAAAAGGGGGGGCTGTGTGTGCTCTGTGGGATATCTGGGGGCACACACGGCCCCACCCCTCGTTGGGGACTAGGCATAAAAGGGGAGCTCCCTGGACGATCAGGGCCAGTTGTAGCTCAAGACCCAAGACCCAAGACCAGCCATCTGAGAACCCTGGGACGCTGTGAGGGCCAGTGGTGGGACTCTGGAACTCCCGACTCTACGACCTTGTGAGGACGAGTTCCAGAGCGTAGCCAGAGTAGTGTATCTAGGCTGTGTACCTATGCTGTGTACCTGGGCTGTAACAGAGTATCAGGACTGTTGGAGAGTTGGAGTGTTGGAGTGTTGGATTGTAATAAAGAAGTTACCTTTACAAGTGTCTCCGGAACCCATTACATTTGGAGTCAGAAGTGGCCATGGAGACAAGAAGTAAGCCACGTACCTTCAGTCCTGACGGCGATGTCGAGGAACAAGCGGCGACGGGGCAGGCAACTCGGGCCGACAACGACTCCGCACCGCCGGATGAGCAGCCGTCCACCACACCTGCCGATCCTCCTCCAGCGTCGGGAGCAGCAATGGAGGAAACGCTGCTTCGCCTCACTGAGCTGCTCCACGCCACCGTATCCATCCTTGACGACATGCGTCGCTCACAGGTGGAGACAGGAGGGAGAGAGGCGGCGCAGCGCCCGCGCCATTCCGCCGGCTCCAACACAAAGATGGCAGCCGTTCCCGGCACAAATACATCCGGGTGTGTCGTCACTTCTGCCAGGGGAGCAGTGGCCGCTGGGAGTGACATCACTTCCACCCAACCAAACAACGCCGCGTCATCAGCGCTGCGTCCCTCACCGCCAGGTGACAGCTGTCTGCAACTTATCAACGCCGCGTCATCAGCGCTGCGTCCCTCACCGCCGAGTGACAGCGCTGCGAACGCGAAGCCAGCTTCAGCCGGGTTGCCAGGCAACAAGCGCGGGGCTCACGTCCAGCAACGCCTGCCGGAACTCAAGGCATATTCTTCAGAGAGGGGTGAGTGGGCAGCGTTCGAACGCCGGTTCGTCTCTCTTATAGAGACGTCCGGCTGGTCGGAGGATGAAGCGCTCCAGGGCCTCCCGGCTATGCTCGACGACGACGCCCTCGCAGCACTCCTTGCAGTGCCACAGGCGAAACGTGCCACGCTCACGGACGCCCTTCATCAGATGCGGCTGATTTATGGACCCCCGTCCGAAGCACGTCACCGCTTTGATGCGAGGAGGAAGAAGGCCTTCGAGTCGGCGATGGGGTACCGCAGCGCGCTGCTGGCCATGGCGCGGGTTGCCTACCCTCGCATGGATGAAGACGCTGTGGAGTCACTCGTGCTGCAGAAGCTCATGAGCTTGGCCCGCCAGCTTCGAGTTGCCATGCCAACAGCCGACGACGATGATGACTTCATGTCGCTACGTGCTGCCAGGTGCATCCAAGCACACCTCCATTGCGATGAGGACACGACCATCGCCACCTGCGCAGGCCCACCTGATGCACAAGCCTATGACGTGCATTTGGGGGCTCATCAGGCCTTCGCGGCAACAGAAAGTCGCAAATCGTCCAACTGGCGATCCCAGCGAGATCACCATCAGCGGGACCGGCCAACCTCGCGCCAGGATGGGGCGTCCATCATCTGCCACAACTGTGGCCTTCGGGGCCATGTGGCGTCCGGCTACCAGGTCCCCCGACGCCGGACTTCAGGACCTCCGGCGCCTCGCCCACCACCGTATCCTCGGCATACCCAGGCGAGTCACGACACCTCTCACTCTCGGCCCCCACTTACAACAAGGACGCACCCTCACACCACACAGGGGGGTCATGCTTCAGAGGAGGGGGATTCGGGCCCATCATTGAGCAACCGGGCGCTCGGACCAGGTCAATTGTCCGAGTTGGCCCATAGGGTCGTTGCCGCGGCGGCAGGGTCCTCTGCCGTAGTGGGTTCCATCGAGGGCGTTGATGTTCGTATGTTGATCGATACGGGTGCGTCGGCGACCATCATTTCAGACATAATTTATAACATTCTGCCCGATACATGCCGTCTCTTGCAGCCAGTTGATGTGCCATGCTATGCCGCAAATGGGGGTTGGTTGGGCATCACCGGACGGATCAATGCTCAGATCCGCATTGCTGACGTCCAATTAGTTGGGCCCATTTTGGTCTCATCAACCCTCGCCATTCCGTGCCTCCTCGGAACAGATTTCTTGGGGAAGATGCCCATTAAAATTCTCATTAACAAAGGGTGTATTGAGCTCCCCTCCGGCCGACGCAAGGCCTTCCTGCCCACACCCACTCGGTTGCACTCCGCATCTATGACGGTGCAGGCGTTTGCAGCCTGTACAATTCACATTCCTCCCGGCTCTCAGATGTTAGTTCCCCTCCAGTTTCGTAAACCCCTTGACTACGATGCGTTCATGGGAGGTGCTGTGATTGGGCCTTCACGTTCAGCTGAATGGGTGTCGGACCTCGTGTGTACACAAACGCTCGTGCGAAGCGACCATGACCCCTTTATCCAGGTCCTTAATGCGGGATTGGAAACTGCCGTTATCTGTCAGCAGCACGATCGGGGTCGACGTGCGTCACCTGCAGGCCCCGGACCGCGTGCTGCACACGGCGAGCGGAGCAGGAATGGGGCTGCTGGGGAGAGCCACCCTAGAGGTCCGCATAGGCAGCCAGGTGTGCACCCAGGAGTTCTACATGTCGAGTGCGTTGTGTCACGAGTGTATTGCAGGTACCGACCTCCTAGAACAGCTGGGACTCAACGTGCAACCCCGCCAGCGATGCGCCACCATGGAGAGCAACGGCGAGCGGATTCCGTTCCTGGGACGAGAGCCGACGCGCCCCCGCTTC